TTATGTCAGTAATATTTTACAGAATTTTGAGGTCAAAGGAATGACAAAGCATAGTATATGAATGTGACAAAGCTAAAATTTAATGGAAAGACCCAGTGATTTATCATATTTTCCAATGACAGTTTCATAGCCACATTTTCTGTTTTAGAAGACTTAGTTTTAAATGACTCACTATTTACTAGGCATTAGCCTGATTAAATATATTCTTAACCATGACAGACCTTTCAGCTTTCTTTTTCCATAATTTGGTATAACTGAGAAAAGAAATGAACTACTTGCTACTCTAACTTACACACTGTGTCTTTACGCTTGTGTAGCAGGTAGTTGATCTTGGCCAGTAAGCTTAGAGCCAGTACCCTGTTTCTTAAGAATGTTTCTCAGAAAACGATACGCAGGTTATACTGATCTGGCGGTATTCATTATTTCTGGCTATTCAGATGTCCTGCTGCACCATAGGTACACTATTATGTGTTAGTAAGAAAATAAAACTGAACTCATACTCATTCCCCAGCGTTAGCTTTTGGTGTCCAGGGTGAACTCGGCGATGCAGTACAGAGTGCCTGTCAGTACCCTTAGCTTCCTTAGTGCTGGGGTTTCCTGTGTAGATGAGGACACATAACATTAACATTGCATTCTTCCTAACACACGTGGTTCTTAAATGTTGTGCATAGTACTTACTAGTATTTAAGAATCTATTTTTTTGTTTTTGTTTTATCTTTGGTTTCACTCTTTTAGTCTATTTTTGTTGCTATAACAAAATGCCATAGGAATGCCATAGGGTGGGTACTTTATGAATAACAGATTTGTTTCTGCCACCTTTTAAGGTCTGAGAGTCACAAGGCAAGGGACTTGCTGGTAGTAAGGGGTATCTGATGAGGGGTATCTTTATGTGGTAGTGGAAGGGCCTTAATGGCTCTCTGGAACCTTTGTCAAGGCATTAATTCTTATCAAGGGTTCTGTTTTTAGGGCCTAACCACCTAACTTCCTGATTATAATCATATTTGGGATTATGTCTCAGTATAAAAATTTGAGGGGACATGAACATTCAGACAGAATGTTGGCTACGTTAAAGTCAAGGATTTTTATTTCTTGCTGAAGGAGTATCTATTAAAAATGATGAGGGTACAGCTAACCAATTACTGCTTACCCTTGACTTTACTCTCCAAGTAGTGGGAAGTCTATTACTGCTTCTTTATTTTAGGCATTTTTACTTATTTTTTTTCTCTTTTTTCTGCTTATTTTTCTATGGCATTAAAAAAAAAAAAAAAAACATGCCCTTTTCCTGGTCTATTAAAAACCTTCCAAACAACTTCCTTTTCTTACACAACTTTTGCTTCATACTGATGTCCGTACTCTTTGTTAGGTTTGTTTGAGTTTCTTCAGAGACTCTGTTACTCACAGGGAACTCCTGTTCCTTAAAGTCTTCCCGATGCTGCCTGTGCAGCGTTTTTCACGCGTCTGCTGCTTTGCATCATCGGGAGCTTTCTGCTGCAGTAGTTAAAATATTCATAAAATATCTTACATTTCTTGAGGCTGTTATTCAGAAAGATCTCTTGTTCTGTAACAGTTTCCTCTGAGATTGAAATACTCTGTCTGCAGGGAAGCAACTTGAACAAGAAGGTTGAGCTTCAGGAAATCCCTGAAACTGACTAGATTCACTAGGCCCCTCCCTGCCAGAGTAAGCAATAAAACCTAAGAGTCTAGTCTAGAGACTCTGCAAAGAAGACTCTGAAGCCAGACCAGCTTCCCAAAAGGAGAAGTCAGTGGAGCTGCCTGGGAGAGTTTTTGAAGCAACTGAGGCAGGTTGAAAGGATGTTCTCCAACCTGCAGATTGCAGTGTGCTTCTGGTTCCTAGCTTTGTGAACTGTCAACCATGCTGGGGTGGCTTTGGTGATATAGTTGTCTTTTAAGTCATTTTTGCTCCTGTAAGTAACCCCTCACTCCTTACCCTTACAGGAGTAAGTAACTTCAGTGAAACTCATTGGTTCACTAAATTGGACTCTGGTGGTATCCATACATTGTTCTGTTGTGAGTTCCCTATTTGAGTGAGTGTATGTGTTGAATTTCCCCCAGGAAAAGTTTTCTCACAGAGCATCCCTGTGTCAGAGTGGTTAGCATTACTTGAAAACTAGCCAGAAATACAAATTCTTGGTCTTCACCCTGAAGTCACTGGATTAGAAACTGCGTAGGTAGGAGTTGGCCAAAGAAGCCTCAGGACAGTTCTGATGCTGCTTTGATACATGAACCAATGCCCCAACTCTTGTTGTTGCTGGTGTTCTTACTCTTAATAGAGCAACCATTGCTTTCAGACTGCTTTCATATGTGTAGCTTTTTTTTTTTTTTGCATGTGTTGTGTGTATGGATGTGCATGTGTGTGTGAAGGCACATACAGGCCTGCCCATGGAGGTCACAAGAGGATGTCTAGTATCCTTTAACATTCCTCCCCGCTTACCTCCAGCCTTACAGCCCTTGAATCAGGATCTCTCACTGAACCTGGAACTTGCTTGGCTGGTGTTCAACAAGCCCTAGCTGTTACCCATATCCCTCCTTGTTTACAGGTGTGTCAGGAGACCTGCCTAGCTTTTTACCTGAGTGCTGGCGATCCAAACTCAGGTGTTGAGCAAGCTATCTCCTCAAGCACATTAACGTAACTGTTGGTGTGGATGCTAGGCCTGGTGTCTGTCAGTCCTGTTTTTAAAATTAGTGTAGGTCTATCTTTGGCAACTTTCCAGTATTTCACACTAAGTAGGCTGCTTCCTTGTACCCTGCCTGCTAGCCTTCAAACTTTGAGTGTTTGAATGTGCAGTATTATTTCCTGCTTGTATCCTGCTGTAATAATAAAAAAAAAAAACATAAAAGATTTTTAAAATGCTGTATCCAAAATAGGATAGGATTTCTAAACTACAATTTAAATTTTTTTAATTAAATTAAATTACGATTAAAAAAAAAGACAAAACTTGCACATTAATCCCGGCACTTGGGAGGCAGAAACAGTTACAGATCTGTGAGTTTGAGGCTAGCCTGGTCTGTGTAATTAGTTCCAGGCCAGCCCAAGCATCAAAGTGAAATCCTGTCTGAAAAAAACTAAAGGCAGAAAAACACTCAAATAAAATTTACATACCAAAATTAGGTCTGAACATCTCATTGAATTTCTGTACCGTAAGAATAGACATTCTGAAGCTGTAAAGCTTTACATCATATTTTACACTTTATTAACAAATATATTTGTATGCACTTATCCTCCACCAAGGTGGGGGTCCTTGACAGAGTTGAAACTAGGATAGCCATTAGCTTTATATCCTCTTTCATTACTCAAATGCGCCTTCCCTGTGTTCAGTCCTTCCTCATCACTTATTATGTGAACCCCTTCTTATTATCCTTTCTACATGTTATGTACTGTGCCCGTGTGCACACACACACACGCTATGGGCTAGGATCTACAGATGAAGGAAAACATGTATGTTTGTTTTTTTCTTTCTGAGGTTGTGTGATCTTGTCTGATACTATACATTCTAAGTTCTTCCTTTTGATTTTTTTTCACAATTTGATTTTCTAGGCAATAAAAGCATCGTTTATAAAACATGGGTTAAATACCCTTTTTCTGCACTCTTTGCCCTCCTCCTCCTTTACTTTTCTCTCTCTCTTTGGAACTTAGAGATTGTTTTATCTGAAGCTTGCCCTAATTGCCCAAGCTCTCTCAAAGCTGGAGGAGTCCTTGATCTGGGGTGATAGGGTACTTGCTTATGCTAGCAACCAAAGGCAAAAGCAGGCAGGTACCCAAAATAAGTCTTGTAGTAGGTTTTAAATAAATACTATTAAAATGTGGAAGTTGGAAAATCTCAGAGAATTGAGTGTTCTCCAGCATCAGAAATAAATGCATTGCAAGATTGTAGTCGGGGACAGAAGGAGTCTCAATGATTTCAGTGACTAAGTTTTGACAGTAAACACATAATCGGTGAATGAATTAAAGATTTTAGAGGGAACAAGTTGATGTTACTACAGATATTTAGCTCTTTAACTCAGGAGGAGGGATGCGTTAAAACATTCTTCAGCCTGGAGTGTGCCTTAGCTTATTCTTTGCATGTGTGAGGCTGTGTTCTTCATTCATAGCACTGATACATTACAAACAACTTAAGTGTAAAGGTTGTGTTAAATCTTTAAAAGTAATTTTTATTATCATGTGTGCCTTCTTTATTTTATTTTTTATTTTAATCACAGGTCATTCACTTGTATCCCAGCTGTAGCCCCTCCCTCTTTCCCTCCAAACCCCACCCTCCCTACCTCATCTCCTCCCTGCCCCCTTCCAAGTCCATTGATAGGGGAGGTCATCCTCCCCTTCCATCTGATCCTAGCTTATCAGGTATCTTCAGGACTGGCTGCAATGTCCTTATCTGTGGCCTAGCAAGGCTGTTCCTCTCTCGGGGGAGGGGGGAAGCTCAATGAGCCAGTCATTGAGTTCAAGTCAGAAATAGTCCTTGTCCCCCTTACTAGGGAACCCACTTGGATACTGAGCTGCCATGGGCTACCTCTGAGCAGGGGTTTTAGGTTATATCCATCCATGGTCCTTGGTTGGAGAAACAGTCTCATAGAAGACCCCTGTGTCCTGATATATTTGGTCCTTGTGGAGCTCTTGTCCCCTCTAGGTCATACTAACTCCCCCTTCTTTCATATGATTCCCTGCACTGTGCCGAAGGATAGGCTATGAGTCTCAGAATCTGCTTTGATAATGTGTGCCTTTTTATTTCTTGGATATACATTTTAAATAATGTCACATATTTCTTTATGTACAGTTACATTCTAATGATTTACATGTATCTTGGACTTAAATCTTAACTGTTAAGGATTGTTCTATTTTGTTGAACAGGAATGACAATTTATATTTTACTTGAGAAAGTTTATTCTTGAAATCATCATAAATACATTCTCATAACATGCACTGTTCTTTCATAACAGGGTGCATCTTTGAGTTATAATAAGCCTTCTCTTTATTGTGCACACAGGAAACCTCGCCCCGTCTCACAGCTTGTCGCACAGCAGGTCCCTCAGCAGTTTGTGCCCCCTCCCCAGTCAAAGAAAGAGAGGAAAGATAAAGCAGAAAAAGAAAAAAGTGAAAAGGAAACAACTAGCAAAAAGAACTGTCATAAGAAAACCAGGTAAAAAAGTGTTTTGTGGTTGAAATAATAAAAATAACCACTCAGTATTCTTTTTTAACTTAGATCATACTCTATAAGCAAACTGGAAGTAAACTTCTATCTCAATATAAAATATCACAGGTTTTCTGAGTTTGAAAGCTATGTTGGAAATCAGAAAAGGTCAAAAGCTTAAATGTAAAGAGGCTTTTCTTTCTTAGTAGATTTTTAGAAGACATGCATGTCTGTTCTTTTTACTTCATTAATAAAAATAGGCACTTGAAATATAGGAAATGGGCATTCAAAGTCGTGAGCTTTGACCAATGATCATGGTTCTGGATATTGTCGTAAGTCAGTTGTGCAGCAGTGGAGTGAGAGTTTAGCCTTTTTTAATTTTTTTTTAAAGATTTATTTATTTATTTAGTACTTTATTTACTTATTTTGTGTGTGTGTGTGCGTGCGTGTGTGCGCACAAGTGTTATGCCTGCATGTATGTATGTGCACTACAGTGGGGCCTGCAAAGGTCCGAAGAGGGTGTCATATCTGCTGGGACTGGAGTTAAGGATGTTGTGAGCTGCTGTGTGGGTGGGAGGAAATAAAACCTGGGTCTGCTGGTAGAATAGCCAGTGCTCTTACCCATTGAGCTGTCTTTCCAGTCCCCATCCTTAGCTTTTATCAGTTGCCTTTGTGGTGCAGTCATGTCCTTGTTATCCTAAAACGTCTGTTGGAATAAAATTATTAAGCTGCCCGCAAACTTCAGTGTGACTTTAAAGCACTACACCGAGGCTTCCAGTCTTCTTTCATGTTGAAGGTTCACGAATGATTTTGTTTGGTTTATGTTAATGAGTTGAAATATTTCATGATACTTTGGTGGTTTACTGCATATGAGTACCTTTAAACAGAAATACATTGATTCTGTTACTTTTGCTTGGTTATTTAGTATGTACTCAGAAATTTTGGAGTGAGAAAAGCTAGCTTAAAAAACTCTTTTTTTGTGTGTGTTTAGACCAAGATTAAAAAATGTGGATCGGAGTAGTGCTCAGCATTTGGAAGTCACTGTTGGAGATCTAACAGTCATTATTACAGACTTTAAGGAGAAAGCAAAGTCAGCGCCTGCGTCCAGTGCTGCTACTGGGGATCAGCACAGCCAGAGCAGCTGTAGCTCTGACAACGCAGAGCGGGCTGTGTCTGGGTCCTCCTCGCCCCGCGGAGAAGCCTCGTCCCTGAATGGAGAGTCTCACTGAACATTCTTGCTCCACGTAGTCATGCCTGTCCTCCATGGAAACACAGATTATGCCAAGAACTACCACATTTTCATGACAGACGCATCTATGCCTAACCTAAAATTTGAGTTTTTCATGAAATACGAATTTTCCAGAATTTATTAGATTTTACTGGAGTGTAAGCTACCGAACATTTCCAGACTTAACATTTTGGTCTCTGCTGTTAAATGCCATGAAAATGTGGTTGAATTATTCATTATGCAGTGTTATTGGTAAGTCTATTTTCACTTATAGTTTAGTGAATTCTAACACATAATTATTGAATTCTCTACTATTGGCATGTAATGAGTTTAAATTTTTTATTACATAGTGCAAGCTGCCTAAATATGTATTATTTGAGAATTGTGAAACAAATAGTTATATGTATGCAAGTCAAAGATCAACTTAATCAACTATTGCTGCAACAGGATCTTCTTAATGGGTATCCTCTTAATGCACCTGCTGGTACTTGGTGTGGTTAAACAGGAAGTTGTTATTAAATAAAGAATTTGTATTGACCTTTGCCAAGGTTTTGACATGTTTTTACTAAATTATTGTTTCTGAGTTATGTTTTATCCATTTTTTGCAGTTTACGTTTGTTAGTTTGCTTACTTTTCAAAGCATCATTTTATTGTACTATTTACTAGTTGAATAGTAAACAATAAAACATGGACTGTTTAGCTTTCTAATTCAGGTCAGTGCTGTTGTCATTGAACACTGGTATTTCCTGTCCTCTCTAAGACATTAAAGTTAAAGAAATAGAAGCTCTGGCAGGAGCAGAAAAGAACTTGCTGTACTTGGAAAAGCTTTAACTTTAGCTTTAATGATAGTTTTATCACTGTTTCCTTGTTCCAAACCTATCCAGGGTCATAGACGTGAATCTAGTTAATATAAGCATGGTAACTATTATGCAGAGCTGGGAAGTTAATCCTAAGTCAGTTCAATTGGCCTTTACTAAATACAATAATTCGTATGAAAATCATAGTACTCTATTTCCAGATACAGCCTTCAATTTATGCATTTATCAGTATCTTGAAATAAAAAGTATTTACAGCCCCACTCACTTATGTACGATTACCAATAAAATATTTTTTATGACTTAAGATTTTGCATTTTTGTTTACAAGTAAATGAAGTGTGTTATGTTGTATTTGAAAATCCGTGTTAGAGACCACATGCCACATCTTAAATTCTCCCCAGGCCCTCTTGTATTCTCAGCCATTTGCCTGATACATATCTACCTATAGGGGCTTCTGAAATGTAAATCAACCTCAAGACAAGACCTACCTTGAATATAATCTGCCACATAAAAGACATCATGATAGCATTTGGAGGAAAAACTGTGGACCCTGACACTGGTGATACTTGGTTTCTCATGGTAATGTCACTCTGTTTGGTTGCAGTACTTTTCACTAGCACAGTGGTACTCCTGTAACATGCTAGTTATGAATACACTTTATTGCAGATAGTAAAAGTCTGTGATGAAAACATTCAGATACCTGAGTGTTGTTAAATGAAGGTGTAAAATTTGCTTTATTCTAAGATACTCTAATGGAATACTAACTGGCCATCTTCTTTTCAAACATATTATTTTTACATTGTTTTTCATGTATAATAAATGTTTAGTGTATTTTTGATTTTAAATACTTGTAATGGGGAAATCCTCTAGTTCCTAAGACAGAATAAGTAAAGGCAATATATGTTACAACAATCATATATTTTCATAATATATTTTAATTTTTTCTACAAGAAAGGAAAGCATGAGAGAAGGTGAGATTTTTACCTGAATAGGCTATACTCATATCTGTGTGCTGGTGGAAGGTACAGTAGCATGGGGATTCAGAGTGTGATGCTGATGCTTGAGTCTCTGCTGTGGAGTGTACACTTGAGTACACTCAAGCTTATTTCCCATCTGTAAAACAGGTCATGATGGCCATATCTGATGCATATGGTTCTTGGGAGGATTAAATGTTAGCCCATGTAAATTCTTAACATTTCTCTAGCACACTCTGTTTTTTTAGTAAATGGGAGCTTTTACTATCATAGGTAAAATATTAAAATTATGTTTTATAACCAAATTATTTTACTGCTTTTATGTAACCTAAGAGAACAGTTTTGTCAGTGTTTGCTCTGGTCCCAGAAAGACCACCTTTCTAAGACTGGAGAACCTAATCCCATATACCATGAGACTGGGAGTAACGAACTATGCTATCTAGCATGGTATTTTGTTTTCCTTTCATCTCCCTTTATTTCACTCTACCTCAAATAACTTTCATATCAGGAAGACATGCAAGTTCCATTAGTACATGCACTTAATGTTAAAATATGCAAAAGACTATGCAGAGCCAGGGCTTAGGGTATATTTGTAGCTGTTTTGTAAATCTGTAATATAGTATTAGTGGTGGACTCCTTCAGTTCTTTTTATTATCATTTTATGTGTATGAGTATCTTGCTTGCATGAGTCATTGGGCGTGTGTGTGCACCATGTGCAGGCCTGGTGCCTGCAGAGGTCAAAGAGGGTTTTGGAGGCCCTGTATCTGTAGTTACAGACAACTGTGTGCTCCTGCGTGGGTGCTGTTAATCAAAGTCTGGTCCTCTGCAAGAGCAGCAGGTGCTTTTAACCACTGAGTCATCTCTCCAGCCCCATCGACAGTGGGTTCTTTTAACCACATTCCACACTAAAAGAATTTGGATTTTTTTTTTTAAGAGTAAAAGTAAAGATAAGACAAGCAAAAATGAAGATGTACTCTGAAACACCTAAGAATATATATTCTTAAAACCCTTTGTATTACACAGCAGCAATGGATGACTTAAAGGTTTTAATTAAAGATTTCACTAAATGCTTTCCTAAAATTATAGTGATAGTAGACAAGATAAGTACATTGATAGAAGGAAGAAAATCAACTGAGTTGATGGCATGTCAGTTTTTTGGGGGTTATAAATCCCCAGTGTTTGAAAGAATGTATGTTTGGCATATTGTATAGATTACTGATGAATAGCTTGAGTTTCCTATTATACTTCCTTAGCAGCTTATCTCTTTGTAAGGATCTGATGTAGGAACTTTGCTTGTGGTTTGAGAATTAAGTAAAAAGAGAGTGTGTAGGATAGCAGTAAAATAATGTGTTGCCTGGTGTGACGGCGTATGCCTTTAATTCCAGCACTGGAGAGGCAGAGGCAGGGGTAATCTCTGACTTTGAGGCTAGCCTGCTCCACAAAGCAGGTTCAAGGACAGCAAGGGCTACACAGAGAAACCCTGTCTTGAAAAACACCAAAAGAAAAAAAAGGCGTTGGCTACATTACTGTCCACCCCACTGCAGGCATGTATAAAAAAGCCTGGAGCAAAGCATGGAGAAAAGTCGAAGTACAGGGAAATCAGTGACAAAAAATAGCCAAAGGGAGCAGTAAAGGGTGCAGAAAACAAGCACAGTACGGATGGTTTTCTTTCTTTCTTTCTTTTTTTAAAGATGGATTAATTAATTAATCAATTATGTATACAGTGTTTTGCCTACATGGATGCTGGCATGTCAGAAGAGGGCACCAGATCTCATTTTAGATGGTTGTGAGCCACCGTGTGGTTGCTGGGAATTAAACTCAGAACCTCTGAAAGCGCAGCTAGTGCTCTTAACATCTGAGCCATCTCTCCAGCCCCATTTACTGTTGATTTTCAAAAACAGAAACCGAGGAAGGCCTTTGCTTGCCATTAAGAGTAGGAAAAGCGAGCTGCAGTAACAGTAGCGGTAAGGGAGAGTAGGCGTGGGAGAAAGCAAGGAAAGAAAGGAGGAAAGAGGCAGTAGAAAAGCGCCAGGATGGCCAGGCCTCTGGACGCTACATCACTGGGGAGGGAACTCCAGCATACACTAGCCCCTGGGAACCTGTCATTGACGTAGAGCATTAAGTCATCCTTATAATTCGTCATAAGCAGTTTCCTCAGCATGTTGTTAAGTAGGGCAACAATATGTGTACTAATTTAGAGTAGTTTTCCATGAAGCCAGTTCAGTGTAAGCTATAATAGCAAGTTCTCTTTAAACTATATAAAAAAACTTTCTGAACACACATACCTAGTAGCCCTTTTAAATGTTATGATTTAGGCTTGTCTTAGTTGGTGTAGATCCTTCTGTCTTTCACCATGTTTGGTTTTTTAATTGTTAACTTTTTTTTTGAGACAGGGTCTCTCCATGTCTTCCTGGCTTTACTCACTGTGTTTATCAAGCTGACCTTGAACTTAGCACAGCTATCTGCCAGCCTCCATCTCTTAAGTGCTGGATTATACATAAATTTGGTTTATGTATAATCATATGTGTATGAGTGTTTGCCTGCATGAATGCTTATGTATCATGGTGTTAGATCCTCTGGGACAGAAGTTACAGATAGTTGTAAGCCACCATTTAGGTGCTTGAAATTCAAACCCGGCTACTCTGCAGGAACAACATGATCAGCTGATCTAACTTCTAGTCCTGAACCTTGTTTTTTGATTTAAGGTTTCTCATGGGTCTGTAGCTCACAAATAGGCTAGGATGACTGACTAGTGAGCCCAAAGGACCTGCTTGTCTCCACTGCCCCAGCCCTGGGTTCTAAGTGTGGAGCTTTTTTTTTCGAACTGTAGGTTCTGGAGAACCAAACAAGTGCCGATCCATGCTTCCGGCATTTTCAGCACTTTACCAGCTGAGTACCCCAAGCTCACATTCTGCATCTTTTCACAGATCAGGGCTTATCATTAAGTCTATGTTGGCTTTTAGTTACTGCTTCAAGGGTTGGTTACAAAGAGACTAATGATGTGGAGTAAACATTTTAGAGATCTGTAAATACAGTGGCATCCCCGCAGCACTAAAGTATGTGTAAGACACAGCAATGGTAGAGGAAGGACTGCCTGAGATCTTTTTCTTATAAAATTCACCCAGGCCTTAAATATCCACCGGCAGTCTGCACTAGAGTGTTGGGATCTCCCTTTGGTGTTTTCAGCTAATTGAGTCACCAGTTGTTAGAGCTAGTTGTGATCTGTTAACTCAACTTGTATTGTGAAAACTTTACCCGTTTAAGCATTGTAAGTTGAGATGAATCATTTTCTTCTAATTTGTTTGATATGTTTGAGTGTTTGGCCTTCAGGTGTAAGGTGACTACATGCATGCAGCGCCCGGAGAGGCGGAAAAAGGGTGATGGGTCCTCCTGGGACTGGACTTACGGGCGGTGTGAGCCAGGTCTTTTCTCCCTCCCTCCACACCCACCTTTGAAAAGTCAAGAACATAAAGTCTCACCTTTTTTTTTTTTTTTTTTTTTTTTTTTTATGAAGGTGTTGAAGAAGATTCTGCATTGCTGGCCAAATTAGAAATTTTACTCAGGCTGATTTCAGCAAGTTGACTTTATCTGAGAAATCAATTTGCCATTCTCCTAAGACAATTCATTTTGATTATATTCAATTTTTGCTGTAATTCTAAGAAATTTCAACTAAAATTGGCTGTTTTAAATAATTTGTCAGCAGGACTCTATGGCTGTCCTTACTCTAACTTACATATATATATATATATAAAACCAGTTCTGACTTTATACTTTTTTTTAGTTTGTTTTTATAAACTGCCTCAATTCTCTTGGGTAATGGGGCTTAAAATGACTAATTAAAGATGTTTTATTTATGTGTTTTGCTTGAATGTACATCTGGGAGCCATCTGTGTGCCTGGTGCCCGTGGAGGTCAGAAGAGGGTGCCGATTCCCTGGAACTGAACTGCAGTTACACTGGGTTGTGAAGCATCATGTGGGTGCTGGGAACTGAACACAGCCAAGTCTAGGCAATAAGGCCTTTCAATCACTGAGCCGCCTTTCCTGCCCTTAATAATAGTTTAAAAAAGATTTTCTAAGTATGAGGCTAAGCCAGAGGTAAATCTGGGCTAAGAATCCAGTGCTACCACTGCCCTCCTCTGCAGTTAAGGTAGTTCCTACATCCTGAGTGTCAATCTTGGTTTTCACCTCATGACTAGTAGAAGAAAGTCTGGTCATCACTTTTCTGTAATGTTTTTGTTTTGAGACAGCGTTTCTCTGTGTAGCCTTGGCTGTCCTGGACTTAACTTTGTAGACCAGGCTGGCCTTGAACTGCCTCTGCCCCCCCACCACACCCGGCTTTTTAAAAATCTATTTTATTATATATAACTACTGAGCCATCTCTCCAGCCCAAGAATCATTTTATTAAAAACTGATATATCTATATAGAAATACGGGGAGGCAGGAAATGGTGCACAACTGTAATCCTAGCATTTGAGGGATCTGAGTGGCAGTATTTGTCCAATAGGATTACTTCCCCCCCCCCCCATAACTCAAAGGTAGAAATTAGAAGGAAATATTGGACAGAAATCCATACATATTTGAGTGGCCTAAGAGAGGGACAGATGGGAAGAATGAAAAAGGAGTGAGTACCAACATTAAAATTTTTATTTTTAGTTATATGTGTGTATGTGCATGTGAAGTTAAGAGGGCGTAAGGTGCCCTGCAATGGAAAGTTACAAGTGGTTGCGAGCTGCCCAACATGGATTGGTCCTGGGAACACAACTCTGGTCCTCTGCCAGAGCAGTGTGCACTCAGCCTCTCTCTTCTAGCCTTGTACTTTCTAAACTAGATGCTTAAAATTTGTTTTAAATTCTGAGTTTGTTTTTTTAATCTCACAGAGCTCTTTGTCTCATTTTAGAAAGAAAAAAAAAAAAACCCTCTACATAATAGTTTCAAATTTTCTTTCCTGTCCTTGCCTCCAGCCTTAACACCTTGAATTTGCCTGACCATTGATTTCCTTTGCTCACATTTGTTTCTGGAGTTGAGAGTTTGGAGTCGTTCAGCCTATCACTGGAGATTGAAGAGCATGGTTCTGGGGATAGGCTTGAGATACATACCTGCAGTGGATGAAAAAAATACCCACTTGATGTTGGAATAGGTTAAGTTATTTTCAGTCACAGAGGTCAGTTTAGGAATATAAAAATGAAGTGTGTGAAGCCTGTCCAGACAGCAACATGGCAGCAATTTCATCTTTCCAGGGCTTGGTGTGTGGTAGTTAGTATAAACATTTTTATTTTTAGAGTGCCTTTTTGCAACAACGTCTTTTGCAATTACAGGATTAAAATGAATGTAAAAGATGATAAAGTATTAACACCTCCCCTCCCCGTGTAAGAGCACGATTATTCTGTAGCTCTTTGCATACATTGTTGGCTGGCTTCCCTTTAAATTCCTTATTAGTTACACTTTACTCACTTGGTATCCCCCTGTGGTTCCCTCCCTCCTCCCATCCCAACCCCTCCCCAAGTCTACTGATAGGGGAGATCTTCTTTTCCTTCCTTCTGATCCTAGTCAGTTAGGTCTCATCAGGAGTGGCTGCAGTGTCTTCTTCTGTGGCCTGGTAATGCTGCTTCCCCCTCAGGGGGAGGTAATTAAAGAGCAGGCCAATCAGTTCATATCAGAGACAGTCCCTGTTCCTATTACAATGGAACCCACTTGGATACTGAACTGCTTTGGGCTACATCTGTGCAGGGGTCTTAGGTTATCTCCATGCATAGTCCTTGGTTGGAGTATCAGTCTCAGGAAAGACCTCTGTGCTCAGATTTTTTTGTTCTGTTGCTCTCCTTGTGGAGTTCCTGTCCTCTCCAGATCATCCTGAGTGAGCTATCCCAGAAGCAGAAAGATGCACACGGTATATACTCACTCATATAGATATAAAATATAGGATAAACCTACTAAAATCTGTACACCTAAAGAAACAGATGGAGGGCTCTTGCTAAAATGCTCAATTCCTATCCAGAAAGCCAAAGAGGATGAACATCAGGAGAAGGAGAAAAGAGGGAACAAGTCAGGAGTCTGACACAGAGGACCTCTAAAAGCTCTGCCCTGCAGACTATCAATGCAGATGCTTACACTTACGGGCAACCTTTGGGCAGAGTGCAGGAAATCTTATGAAAGAAGTGGGAAACAGTAAAACCTTAAATTTTTTAAACATTTTTATTTATATTTTAAATGGGGCCACACTCTGTAGCCCAGTTTGACCTGGTACTATGTTGACTAGGCTGGCCTTGAGTCTGTGGTCGTAACCCTGCTGTGGTCTCCAGAGTTTAGGTTTTATCAAGCCCGCTTTACTTAGCAACTTTTAAATGGGCTGTTCTTTGCCTGGGTATTTGCTGTGTTCCAGCTAGTACCCCATACTCCAACTTTCCATTCTTGTTAGTGCTCTTGAAAAGTTCTGTACTTCTTGTAGGTTGTCTTTATTTCTCTTAAGAATTGTAAGGTGTTATGAGAAAGATGTAGTGTTCTCTTTGTTTTTACTGGCCTCTCTCCCTTTTGAGGGCAGGATACTCCTTTATTCCTGAATATTGTGCATCTGAGTCTCTTGTCTGGCATGGAGAAAATATTCAATAAATATTTATTGAATGAACAAATGTATGTTTTCTTTCTCTTTATACATGTTGATAGTTGATTGGATTTCATTTTTATTTTTTAGGTAAGGCAAGAAATTTAATCCCTACGGGGAGGAAATAGCCCACACTAGTGATTTTCCTGTGGGAGCAGAGCCAGCTCTTGGTGTGGGCGTTGGGAGCTTCTTATGCCTGCACTTTCCCTCACATTGTCCTTTGTGGACAGACTTCTCAGTGACCCAGATGCAACCTGAACAATGCAACAGTATAGTTTTTCTCATGAAATGTGTGTGTGTTTTTAAGTGTGTTTCTAAGTATGCATGCATTTTAAGTGTATGCTTTTAAGTGTGTTTTTATCTATATATATTTTAACTATGTTCATTTTACCAGTAGTTTTAGATGTTTAAGTGTGTGCATTTTTGTGTACTTTTAAGTGTGCATTTAAAGTATTTAAATGTATTGTTGAAGTGTATGTGCATTCTAAGTGTATGTTTAAATGTATTTTTGTGCGCATTTTAAGTGCGTTTTTAAGTGTGTGTGTGTTTAAGCCTTGGTTTTGGCTCTGGACCCACCTTCTGCAGTCTCTCATCTCTGTCCCAGCCTTCACTCCAGCCAGAATCGCCCTCTAAAATGCAAATGTGCTCATGTTACTTCCTTCCTTAAAAACCCTTCAAGCAGATCAAGTTTAAACTCCCAGGAGTTTGTGAAGCAAGGCACTGTATTAGCTAACCCTTTCTGCAGTCTTATCACTCCTCATGTCCACTCTTGCATTCACTTATCCTGGCATCACACTTCTCACAGTCTGCTGAATAAAAGAGCTGTTTTCATTGCTCACTGAACCTAGAATTCCTTCCCTTATGAAGGCCACCCTCGCTAAGAAATCTCAACTGTACTCTGAAATACAACTGACTGCATTCTGGAGCGTGTCCACACCCTTACAGATGGCTATCCTGTCTTTGTACAACAGCCTTCTTTCAAAGGGAGTAAGAGGATTTATTTTGAACCAAATATGAGAGACCCCTGCACGGCCTGGGAGCATGGGTTCGGGTTACCTGCAATAACATGTTCCAACATGGAAGCATTTACATCTTTATAATCACAGAATGAGAGAGAGTCAGAAATTAAGGCATTTTCCAGACTCCGGTTGGATCATCAGATTGATTACAGCAAACTGGGGAAAAACTGACAGGTTTCAGGTCTTAAGTCATTCTTAGCTTCCAAAGTGGAGGAAGCCAATGGTTCGCTGAGATTGCTTTAAAGGTTTTGAGTCAAAGCGATGTTAGATCAGACACGGGTGGCCAACGAAATCCTCAATCAGAGACAAAGGTATCTAAGAAGAGCCATGAAGTTTAAGCTAGTCATTGCACCTTGTAAAATCGTCAGCACGGGTCTCCAGCACCAGCCAGTGTCTTCGAGCTGCACTCATTTCTCATCTCTATGCCTCCACCCACGTTCCAAGTAGGCTTCCGTACGAGCCTAGCTCGTGGCGGGGTGAGTGACCGGTGAAGGAGTGGCGGGAAAGGGAGGCCCCTAGGGAGAGCATGCAAATGAGTTGTAAGCAAAGTCTAAAAATGTAAAAGGTCCAGGCAGCCCAGCCAGTTGCGTGGAGGCGAAAGCACAGCACCTCTGACCCACCGCCGCCTTAAGAAGACCCACGACGCACCAACGTTTTAGGCTCGAGGCTGGGGTCCACGAGACGCAGGATGGGGCCGGAAAGAGCTAGCAAGTGCGGAAAACCACTTGTCTTTTTAGTCACGCAGCGATATCTTAAAATTCAAGTTGCTCAGCGTCACAAACTACGCGGTAGAAAAACCGTAGATTGAGGCCAAGGGCCTACAGACCCGCTCCTTTCGCGACACCTCTCCGAGGGTTGCTCAAAGCCGGGTAACACCTAGTTAGAAATCAGCGTCCGTGTCTACATTCTGCGCGGACGCTGGGCCTGCGACACTGCGCAGCTCCGCTTCCGGGATCGCAGCGGATCCGGGGTCCGAGGTCGGGGCGTGTCCAGGAGGCGGGGCTAGAGCCGGGTGTGGGGCGGGGCTAGGCCGCGGAGGCGGGGCGAAGGCAGGGGTAAAGCGTGGGGCGGGACAATGCTAGGCCAGGGGCGAGGCGTGGCTAGCGCCGGGTGTGGGCGGGGCTAGGGCGTAGAGGCGGGGCGAAGCCGAGGGTGGGGGGGGGGCGGGCAGGGCTAGGGGCGTGGCGTCTGGGGCTGGGGCTTGGGCGGGACAGGATGGAGTAGGACCTGGCCAGGATTCGGGAGGCGGGGCGGGGCGGGAACCGGGCTGGTCACGCTGCGGCTGCGCGTTGCGGCTCTTCGCAGTTCGCCCGGGCGAGCGCGGCGGCGGCGGCGGGGCGGCAGCGCGGGCCGGCATGCGGCGCTACCTGCGGGTCGTCGGGCTGTGCCTGGCCTGCGGCTTCTGCTCGCTGCTGTACGCCTTCAGCCAGCTCGCAGTGTCCCTGGAGGAAGGAGCGGCCGCAGGCCGCAGGCCACAGGCCGCGGCGGTTTCCTGGCTGGCGGACGGCGGACGCGGCCCCGGGAGAGGCGCGGGCAGCGCGGGCCCGGGCTGGCCGGGCAGGTACGGGCCGCAGTGCCGGGCGCGGGGGTCCGGGGCGGCGCCGGCGGGTCGCGCCGCTCCCGCCACCGAGCACTTTCTGTTTGGCTTCAGACCCAGTGTTTAGAGCAGTTAGAAATGGAGTTGATTTGCAACTTTCTAAAGCGCTCGTTGGAAGTGAGC